CGACGACCACCTCGTGTCGCTCGGCGTCGGCAACGAGCGGCTCGTCCTGGCGGGCTTCTCGCAAGGCAGCGCCCTCGCCGCCTACACCGGCCTGCGGCGGCGCTGCCTCGGCGTGCTCGCCCTCGGCGGCCCGTGCCCGCCGCGCGAGCGCCTGCTGCCCGACAACAGCGTGACGCGGGTCTGCTGCGTGGTGGGCGACGCTGACCCGTACGCGCCGCACACGGCCCTCGCCGCCGCGCTGGCAAAGTACCCGCCCCGCAGCCCGGCCGAGGGCGTGCACGTGGTACAGGGGATGGAGCATGAGGTGACGGAAACGTCGGTCGCGAAGGGACTCGCCTTCCTCTCCTCGCTGCTGCGGGACACGGCCCCAATATGAGTAGACGCGCAATATGAGTGTCGCGATGAGCTTTAGTGTTTAGAGTTCTCTAATCAACACACATGTACATATGTGCATGTACGGCACACACTCACAGAAGACAGATATCACGGGGACGTGAGCAACACGCACAGTGTCATCCCGCCGGGGTGGGTGCGCCACACTGTGCACACACATGGACATGGGAGCTCTAAGTATTAAGAGCAACCATGCAGCCAGGAGACCGTGCGCGACCCCCGGCGCGAGGGAAAATGTCTCCTCGCCGCCCTCTTGAGAGTGGTGTCGGCGGCTTGCGCTCAGGCATCACTTCGGACTAGCCACTTCGCGATCGACGTCCGCCGCTCGGGTTCGTGGGAGGGGCTGATCACATGGCTGCTCGTGTCCGAGCGGTAGCTGTGGCCGGCATCCTCCGCCACCGCCTCCTCCTCTTCTACCGGCGAGCGGAAGTCGGACTCTGCCTCTGGCGGCCCCGCAATCGACGGAGACGCAAAGGGAGACCAGAACCCGGAGAGCCGCTGTGAGGTGCGGAGCGCTTTGAAGCGAGCCATCATAGAGTGCAGCTCCGTCTTCTCGGCCACTTCGCCATCGTAGCCGCTGACCCGGAAGGCCATGCTGAAGCGAGAGTCGCGGGCCGGAGTCTCCGAAAAGCGCGCAGCAGCCGGCGGCGTGGTAGGAGCATCAGTCGGCGGCGTGGTGAGAGTATCAGCCGGTGGCGTGGCGAGAGTTTCAGCTGACAGCGGTGGCGACTCCGGCAGGCAGCGGCGAGCCCAGGAGCAGAGCTGCGACATGCACGAGAATCAAAACCCGGCTGCTTCACTCATCGGCGTTCGCGCGTGGTACCGGGTACCCGCCCCAGGCGAGCATTTTGTTCGTTCGCTGAGATGTTCACCTCACGCGTCCGTTATTCCTCTAAGGGAGTGTGTCTTGTGAGCCTGTTTGTGTCTGTGTGTCGCTCGTGCGTGCCGTCATCATCTGTCCAGCGTCCACCCATACCGCGTTGGTTGGTGTTCCGCCAGTCTCTCCGAGCCTGGCTGTTCTTCACCTTCCTACATACATACATACATAGGGAGTGCGACCGGCACATGCGTGTTCGCAGTCGCTCCCAGAATGGAGATTTGATTTGTTTGTTGATTTGTTTGGCATAGCTAAAAAATCTCTCTCTCTGTAAGCCGCAGCATCACACACACAATCACATGGACATGCATAATGCAACACCAACAGTGGAACACACAACGTTGACACACAACGCGACTCTACTCGGCCCGCTCAAAGATGCTATTGGAGCCGCGGTCCGGCGCTGGTGCAATCTCGACCACCGTGGGGTCGGCTGCCTCGCTCTCGCACTGCGCCACGGCCTCCTGTACCAGTGAGTCGAGCTCTCGCAGCTTGTACAGCTGCAGCTCCTTGTCGGACTGGTTGGTGACGGTCACGTCCGGGCTCGCCAGTGTGTCGATCGCCTCGTCCACGCTGCGGCTCGCCCACCTACGCGGTAGGTTATGCGGAGGTGACAGACGAGCGGCCTGAAACCGCACATCACCCCTTCAGAGCGGCGTTCACATCATGATGAGCTCGGACGCCATCCCCTCCGTGGCCTGGTGGATGGGGACGACGGTGCAGCGCCGCTCTGCGGCGGGCGCCGGCCCAAGGCCGCCTCCGGTGGCCGCCTGCAGGTGTACCGCGTAAGTGGAGCTCCAGGTAAGGCCAGGTAACCCTCGCGACTCCACGTCCGAAGGCGTTTAAGGCCCCGTGCGGTGTGTGTGTGGTGGTGGGGGAGGGGTGGGGGTGGGGGTGGGGGTGGGGGTGGCCGCCTGCATGCTGCACCACGCCTCAAACTGCGTCCTGGAGCGCGGGGAGGAGGGCGAGAGGCGGTCTAGAGAGGCGGAGAGCGCGAGGCGTGGCCGTGTGGCGTGCGCGCCAGAAGCGGGAGAGGTAGGAGAGCTCCTGCAGGATGAGGACGGAGCAGCCGAGGTAGAGCAGGTTGACCTATGTGCGGGGCAGTCCACGCCCAATAAGGGAAAGGGGGCTTCGTCTCTCGCCTAGCCGCAGGAGAGACACAAGAACATTCTGCAGCATGCGCTTGAAGTCGACCTTCTCCGTGGGCGTCCGCTCGCCCTGCGGCATGCACCAGTAGTCGTACCAGACGAAGCCCACCTGTTCAGAGCGCGGCGTGCGTGAACAGCATCTATTCACGGCAGTGCTCAAGGCATACCAGGCGAAGCTCACCTCGAGGCCGGCCGGGCTCTGAAGGTGCTCGCGGATCGCCCGCAGCTGGGCGCCGCTCGCGTCGGGCGCGTCGGGCTGCTCCCAGCGGTGGCTCACTGCGAGGATCTCGCCGCGGTACGCGTGACGCCCGTATGCGAGGTGCCGCTTGAGCACTCGCCGCTGGATCCATTCTGGGTGCGCTGCCTGCATCTCCTGCAGCCGCGGCAACGTCGTCTTGTAGCCAGCCTCGTCGAACCGCCCGGAGCGGATCACGTCCGCGTCGAGAAAGAGGAAGGTGCACTGGACGCCTTGCATCTCCAGCGCGGCGTCTGCGAGCGCGCGATTTGTCTCCTCCAGC